CCGCAGTAAAACCACGTCCGTGCCCGTTGAAAATGTTCACATTCGTTCTCTCTCTCATATACATGCCACTGCTGCCATTTTTCGCACATGAGAATTTATTCCTAAGCATTAAAATATCCACCGAGTTCTAGTTATGCATGCAAAGTGTTGACAAGAAACAGTTTACACCTTTAAAAATGTTGTTTCGGGAGATACGTCAGAAAAACGATACGAGCAGACGCACTGGAACCGGCAGCGACAGATTCAGCCAGCAGTGAATAAGAGAGACAGGTTAGGGCATGCCGACTCGCTGCTACTGCCCCTTCTTTTTCCGGTATTCGCAGCGGTCGTAATCAAAATGAGGCTTTCGATGAACGTGTCTTTTTCAGGGTTGTGAGCCTTGTCATGCTATGCGGGTAGTTCGCAATTGTGCCTACGCAAGCCACTGCAGCCGCCGACACCTTGGCTGCCATCTTGAATGTACCGTTGGTTGTTTACATCACGTGGTTTGAGAGCTAGCGCACCCGGCGTAGCCAAAGCCGTAGCAAAAAGGCGATCCACTATTGCGTGGTGGCAAAATTGGTCTCGGTCCGTTTTGTTTTTTTTTTTTTTTTCGCGTCGACCTTGTGGCATCGTTTTCGTCACAACGATGGCCTCGAAGTGAGGGCAATTACGGCGAGTTTTTCCGCATTCGCTCCCTTTGAGGCCAAGTGTGAACGGGCCCTGCTCCCACAGACAAGACGCGTTACACTGCTCGCTTGCAGCGGTCAATCATGCATTCGTATTATCCGCAGTAGCGGACAAACCCTTCATATAACACTGAATCACGCTGTATGTTATATAATGTAGTCCATCCGATGGAACTTCAAAGTTCGTATCCTCGTGAAATTCGCACCAACCATAATCGTATCATCGAGATTCTATTGTATGATGGAGAACACCGCGTCTTGTTTAGCTCAACCTTGACTATCGTTACAGCAGCACAAAGTTCACTTTAATGATGAACTGTATAAACATGCACCTTGGTTGTTTGCCTTTTGGTGCCTCTTTGTGACATGCGCGATGTGCTCTCATTTCTTTATGGTTTTTAACCCGTGCGATAACCTTTCAGTTCTGAGTGAGCATTTTGGGTGTGTAGATTGCTTTCCTTCTCCTAGTTCTTTCGTTTTGCCTTGTAAGCCTGCAGTTACAGTGCCAAGGGAGGTTGGTAGGCGCATACCATTTGCTACCTATGCTGTGAGCGACGCACAGTGGTCTAGTTATATTTCTTATTTTATGAAAGTGTTGTAATTTCTAGAGCACTCTTTAATACCAGAACCTTACAATTTACTCGTTAACATTGTCAATGGACATTGATTCCTAATGCATATGTGAATTTATTGACAGTTGTTGCACCTATTAGGCAACCCAGTTGTACTTCTTTTTATATATGTCAAAGGCTGACTGACGCTAAAGAATAATAATAATTAACTTACGCTTCCGAGCCTCTCAGATGGTTGAACATGGGGATAGGTGGAAATCGTATGCAGGCTGTCATAGCTAAACACCAGTGGTGGAAACTTGCGCCAGTTGCGCCAACCTGTGCCAACTGAAAGTTACGGCGCCATGCTGCATCAAAAGGGTCTTTTTACAGCGAAAGCTGTAAAAAGACCCCAAGATCACCACTTGGGTCACGCGCAGTTGTCTGTAACCACATCTGGCAAAATTTGAAAAAAAAAAAAAAGACCTAGCACTAATGACACAGTGGGGCTCAAACTGAGTCTGCTGCGGGCCAGCCCAGTATTCCACCACTGAGCAACGCCGGTGCATGTGACTTGTTGGCGATCTTGCCTTCGGCAGGCTTGATGTTGGCAAAGCAATCGTGTTAATACGACTTTTAAAGTGCTTTAAAACAGTGAAAAAACAACCAGCCATCGCAACATGCAAACAGCGTACCGAGTGGTCCGTTGAATGCTCCAACCCATTACAAAAGCTTGTTCTTGTTCCCTACTGTAGTGCATACCCACTTCAGCCATAATTTCTCATCGTCGCCAGCCACTGCATGAACAATTGACACAATATTCCTTGCAAGTGTTTAGTGGATACCACACGTCTCAGAATAATGACGAGAAATAGCATAGCACATGCCTGCCTACTACCCAAACAAATTTATTATTAATGCCATAGTGGGTATCAAGCAAGTGTGCTTGCAGTGGCTACCCAATGAGTGTTTTGAAAAGGATCTGAAAGGCCACTTTTCTAGCTTTCGCTGTGACTGTGCTGCGCCTTCGATGCAGGCCTGGCGTCTTTTGTCTAATTCGTGCCATCGCTGCGTCACAAGGTGATTTTAGAACTGAAAGTAACGTTGACAGCACACATTGTGAGCGGATATCACGTGATGGTCGCCATCTTGCACACTTGCTCAGCTGCAAAAGCACGGAATCGGCCAATCAATTATTCCTACTTCTGTGCTAAAGCAGCACTGCTTTTTCTGGTAACTATCAGCAAAGAACAAAGATGATGTGGCGACTACTGACTATCGGTGACAAAAAGCCTATGTGTGTGACGTAGCGCCGCTTCAAGCTTACTGCGCGCTTTTATTAGCCGGCGACTACGTAAGAGAGCAGAGGCGCCGATTGCTGCCACCTCCAGCGTTGTGTGGGGCTGTGTTCAGTGTGCGCCGCTTCGCAGACACGAAAGCAGCTCGCTGTTCCAATGTTAGGTGTTGTTGAGCTGTCACCTCATGAAGCCTACATGCTTTCATGAGGCGACAGCCCAGCTGCGCCTCCGTCCGCAGCCAGGGCCGATAGAGCATCACTTGGAGAAAGCTTGCGTCGTCGCATTAACGCAGTCTTCTCTCCACGCCTGTGCAAGGTCTGAAGAGGAGTGGGCACAAGCAGCTTCGCACGGTGTTCAGGCCAAGTAGGCGAAGCCCTGCACACAACTAGCCAGTAGACTATTGACTCCCTGCGACTGTACTGGGTCTCAAAAAACTGTGTCTGTTCTCGCTAATTAGCAGATTGTGGTACACATTCATCACAGACTGCCAACTGTGTCTGTTTTGTCGCTGTGTCATTCGCTTTGTTGGCTGCATATCCCGGGCTCCATACAAGTTTCGAAATGCCCTTCAGTATTGCCACCGGGTGTCATCGGAGGGTCTTAGGAGAATGCCAATCATTTCAGAATATTGGCGAAAAGAAAGAAACGGCTTCGTGTTAGGCACTTTAGCCAATGTTTTTTGTGGCACAGTACTGATTTCTTCATTAGGGGTCATAGCACATGTAAAGAAATGCAAATTGGTACTTGGTCATAGGCATGCGCAAGGCGGGGTGAAAGGGGGGGCGCCAGTTCAATACTTCACATAATAGGGAGGGAGTGGGGCACTGTGAGGAACCTTCCCCACCTCCCGTCAAGAAGAACCCTGTGCAGGCTTATGTACTTGGGGATTAATGCATACTATCGTTAGTTTGCAGTTACAGCCTCGTTCCCAACAGGTTCTCAGCATGTATGTACTATCAACAGCCAGAGTTTGCAAGACGCGAAATGTTCAATAGAGCTAAATTCCCGCTTTGTCTGGAAATGTAATTTTGAAATAAATGCTTCATACTACACTTGGTACTTCGACCTATACAGTCACCAGCTCGATTACAAGTGTTAAGCACTGATATAGCAGAAATTTGCATTTGTTATGGATCGAAAGCCCTGCAAACTTTCGCTGTTCATAGTACGTGTTAACGAGGTTTTACTGTAGCGAGCTTTGCATGTGTCTGTGTTTTCACGTGCCAGCCCCATACTTGCGCATGCTGCTATGAACTTCATGCTGCAGCTAGCTTGTTGATGCTATATCCTACACTCTCTTATGTCGCTGCTTTTGTAGATATTCCTGCTTTTGTTTGTTTCTTGTGCTTATTTTGCGGGCCTGCAGCTTCTATCTAAATGATTACGTAAGCTGAGGGAACATTAAACTAAATTGAAGCTAAATTTTCTTCTTCTGGGTGTGTCACGGAAAGCCTTTGTGAGCTCCAAACTCATAGGTAGCTGCTCGAAAAGCAGATTTTCTCTGCTCTTGTGGCTGCTTCAAAATGTTCAAAGGCATTCCCACCACTGAAACACTGAAGTTTGTGATTTTGTGAGTTCACCTGATCTGAGAAGCACTGGCACGACGCAAATGGAAAGTTGCCCGCTTGCTCGTCGCGGCGGCTGCTGCAGCATACAGACTTTTCCCATGAGCACTGTGCGCTCGCTGGGAGCGCTAGTAAGCTTGAAAAAGGTCTATTGATGCATCTCAGCTTTGAAAATGCCCTTTGAACAGTGAAAATATTTTTTTGGAAATCGGGGTTTATTTGGGCTTTTCTTTCAGATTTATCTGAAAACACGGAGCTCTATCTATGACTAATGTCAGCCTCAAGTTTTTCTTTTGTTATACCAGTTGTCTTTGTTAAGGTTAGTTTTTGATGTCATGTCCCATTCTGAATGCCAATAGTCAATGGACGATTGAAAGACAATATGATAGATTTTTCGATTTAAGTGGGTAGGGCAATTCATTTGACATTTGGAAAGAAATCTAACCGACTGATGAAACTTCTTCACAGTGCAAGCAATGTGATTTGTCCAACTCACTGATAAATCAAAAACTATTCGAAGTGACCTAATAAAAGAAACTGCTGGGATTTTCGTGAAGCACTACAGTAGTCCGTTTGTTGGAGAATCATTATAATTATGGGCTGAAAGAAGACAGCTTTGTCTTTTTAGTGTTTATGAGCAATCCATTTGCCCTTGACCAACAACTCGAAAACAGCATTTCCTTTTTAAGCTCATCGGACATGTAAAGAATGAACGGTGGGTCACTAGATTTTGTTAATAATGTAAGCATCAAAAAAGTTAAAGAGCCAGGCAGGCTACCTTGGGAAACAATGCGTTTATGGACTGCAGAGCCATTAACTAACCATATCATAATTTTAACAATATACTTAACACTGTACAATTATTGTTTGGTCTTTCTTGCATGTCAAAATTCTGCTTTATGACCTGCATGGTTGCAGACACTGGAGGCTGAGCCCGAGACTGTGTCCAGTTGCCCAGCGCTCAGGCAGCTGCTGCACAACCTGCGTGGAGGAGGTGCAGGGGATGCTACTGCAAGCACGCCATCTGGTGACAGTGCCACTAATCGCAAGATGCCCACAGCTCTCTAACATGGCCAGGCGGTCAGTACCACTCATGATTGAGAAGTGCCATGCTTCCTTGAAATGGAAATATTTATTTTCTTTTTTATGCACATGCATAATACCTTTATGTGTTGCACAAGTTATGGTATATACATGATCAAGCAGTGGTATTAGGCAAGTCAATAAATATTTACAAATGTAAAAAAAGGTGCACAAAGTGCAGCATAAGCTAGAAAGAAAACTGGATAAGTGGAAATTGTGGGAAAGTTTACTTTTATTGGAAGGAGTGCGGACGATAAAATTTGTTTTCAGAAGAAGCTTAGCTTTGCTACAGTAGTGTTCAAAGCACGTGAAAGTAGCATAATCAAATGCCTGACTTGCAGAAAAGCTTTCGCGTTTCTGATCGTGTATCACGGCTTTCTTTGCAGGTCACCTACTTGTGAGGAAACTGCCTCCTGCTCGGCTTGTAGATTTTAGTTTCACCGTCCACACAGCTGCACGCTCGCATTGCAACAGTAGCATCGACGCAGAATGCGTCCAGCAACTACTGCACTACGTGGGCTGCCGCCAATAGACAACTTTAAAGTACTGTTGTGCAAGGAGACATTTTTGTATGCACGTGTGGTATTTGTTTTGTGTCTGCCTTTCTTTGCTGTGAACAAATTATCTTATTCACTCAGTTGCACCATTATTTTACATTGTAAAACTTGGCATGTTTGTAATATATATACATATACATGTAATTATTATCCAATCAAGATAGATCTTGTGGCTAATGAGTGTCCACAGATTTAGGCGAAAGTGTCAGACCACAGATGGAAAATGTGAAAGCAAAAGATGAGCCAAACTGTGAAAAGCCGTATTATTTTTTACTGCAAGTTCTTCTTGCGACATTCCGTACAATTTTTTCTTTTTGAACCAAGCCAATGTGTTCTCAGGGTAGTTTCATCTTTTATTCTGCCTTGCTTTTGCATTCTTTATTGTAACTCGTGTAAGTTTCACTTTTTTTTAATTTCGTCTTTTAGGAGAGAAGCAAACTGGTCCAATGTAAAGCAAATGGTCCTAATTTTATCCCAGGTTTTTTAAGGTATTAGCTGTGTTGCACATTAATTGGTTCTTGCTATCTTATTACACTAAGTGTTGTATAAATGGTGTGTCTGCAAAGTAGTAGGATTGTTTTTTGTTTTTCATTTCGTTTGCAACCTTTACACAGTGACTTGATAGCTTTCAAAATATGCACCTCTTGCATCAACAGTGTTTCAGGAATTCTCGTTCTTCATGAAAGGTCTGGTCTCTCAGGAGGGAGTCTGAAACAGTGGCTGTAAGGAGGCTGGGGGGTGATTCCATGCTTCCTCAGGATAGTGGCATGGTGCATTTTCATGACTTTTTGCCATTGAAGGGTGCCTTGACGATTGTTCTCTTCCCACTGTGCTCTCTTCCTAAAACAATTTGTGCCGCTGAAGAAAACTTTACCTACTCATGACATCACTCCCATAAGCTCTCTTGGTCATGTCATGAGTCCCATGCACCTTGTTTCACCCAGTTTGAAGTAAAATAAAACTTCACCGTTTGACTTTGCTTTAACAAAATTCATTGTGGGCATAACAAGGTATCTTGGTAGGGGTTCACTTTTATGCCTGGGGACTGTTGCACCAGTATCCAAGTCCTTCCCCCCCACACAATCAGCATGAGGACAACGCTCTGCTTTTCCAAGCTTCGGCGGGAAAAGATCAGTGTAGACAAACCCTGTACATATGGGTTTCATGGCTCTTCCCATTGGTGAGATTGTGCACTGCAGTGAGCTCAGTGTGGTATTCCACTTGTCAGCATAGCCTGATTTACACATATTTAGCCGATTCTAGAGTTGAAGGCCTTCATCTTCCCACTCACTGCCTCCAAGATTGGCCCACCTTTGACTAAGCGACTGTGCTAGAGTAACAGTTTCATGTGATAGAGCAGTGGCAACATGCTACAACAGGTCCTCCATGTTGAAACTTTACAATGACCTGAAGGTCGTGGGTTCGGTCCCAACTGCGATGGTCCCGTTTTGATAGACGTGAAATGCTGGAGACTAGTGTACTGTGCGATGTCAAGGAACACCACATGGTAGAAATTTCTGGAACCCTCCACCACGGTGCTTCTCATAATCAAATCAGGGTTTTGGGATGTAAAAACTCAGATTGTTATTAAAGGGACCTTGAAACGGTTTTCTGAAGTTTTGTCAGCGTTTAGGCTAGAGCATCATCAAACCATTTGCACCACAGATTTTAGTGACATGCCATGTACCAAGGCTTCTACAGACAATTATATCATACTCTCCTCGCCTCTGCCTGGCCTCCTCAACTCATGAGGCATGCTGGCATGGCTGGGGATCACACAGCTTTCATGAGTGCGCCCAATCATTTGAGCTTTTACCTGTCTAGACCTCCGAAATTGCATGCCGACAGGTTGCACTCAGCCTTGGAGGCCATAACGTAGTGCATCCGGCAGCACGCACGCCGTCTGGCCACAGAGACGAAGATCGCGGAGTGGTTCACATCTGCTCCGACAGGTGCCGCCACCCTACCAGCCGATCTTACTCTCACGCATTTTACAACCCATGACAGCCAATCAGATCAGCGTCCACGGTGACGCGGCTGCTGACGTGCTTTGCCCATTCACAGAGCACGTCGCTCTGTGAATGGGCAGTTGAAAACCCGTTTGGCCGAGTCGCAACAATCTGCACCAATATGCAGCGATTCGCAGCTTTAAAGCGTTGTAATTAATTTACAAAGTTTACGGAGAGAGCTATAATCGGTCTCTAAATAACCCTTGGGACATGGTCTACCAGCCGAATGTGTTTGTACAAAGTCACTAAAACTGTCTCGGGGTCCCTTTAACGTTTTACAGCGGCAGGAGAAACATTTTTTTAGCCTCATCATGTAAACAAAACAGGCAAGTAATGCTCATGAAATGGTATGGATCTAAACCCATGCAAAATACTTGTGTGCAAAATTCAAGCTAGTCGAAAACCAATATGATTTTTTATTGCATTTATATAGGCAGGGTTATGTACTTGTATGTGTGTGGTGTTTGGTGTTTCTGGGGCAGTCATGGCTAAAGTGCGCGATTCTCAACTTGCGATCGTATGTGGAAGCCCAGCCACTCAGCCCTCTTAGATTGTTTTTCTGAAGCTTGGGAATTCGCACACAGTAAGCAGTAATGCTGTATTAAGTTTTATAAAGTAGTATTGGCTACAGTCTATTTGCTGTTTGTTCTCTTTCACGAGATTGGCTGCTGAATCTGGTATGAAAAAGTTTTTCAGCTGACCCCACCCCCCTTTGTCTGTCTCCTATAAGCACTGGGTTCTCATTCCTTGATCAATCCCTGTTTCAGTGTAGCCACACTGCTGTCTACTACGATACCCCATTGCCTCTTGGAGCTTTCATAAAGGGTTCCACTCTATAAGAATTCATTATATCTTAAGTCATATGTGAGTAAATTTTATTTCTGACAAATAGAAACTGTATCTACTATGTATTTAAACTGATGAGAGTTGGTTGTAGTTTTCCTTGTGTGCTAAGTAGACTTTTAACCCAGCAGGACTATATCGACTCTTATGCTCGATGAACGTACAGATTCACCAATGCTAAGCACATTCTGCATGCGTCCTCTCTTGTGTATCCAGTTTTTTTTTCATTTTCACTCCTAGTGACAGTGTTGTATAAGGCAGTAGTAAAAGTGTTTTATTAAAAATGTTCACTGATCATGGTATGTACACTCTGGTATGATGCAAGCATGTTTGAGTTCTGTAGAAGCTTTCTTTAACATTTAAAACAAAACATTTTGCATTTCTTGCTGCAAGTTTGCCTTGGCTTATATGCAGTACCTCTTGAAACAAAATGAGGACCTGAAACAGTCTACACTACATAGTTCATTAAGATAACCTGTCATTTTTAGAAAGCCATTGTATTTCAAGTAAAGCAGGTAGCATCAATCTTTTGCTGTTTCTAATGCTTGCACAAAGATGGTTCCTTTGAAAAGCAGCGGTGGTCATTAGGTGGCTGTCTACAGGACTGTTTTTTCTTTAAAATGATGCACTGTTAGTGTGACATGTGAGATGACTTGGTGTTGGTAACAGGAAAAGAAAGAAAAAAAAGAATGGGAAAGTGCAATCGGAAGAGTAACTAAATCACATCGTAGCTCTTACTTCCAGCTTTTATTGCTTTAATGCAAATGTAAACATAATAATTCATTTCAGGTTACAAAAATATGCTCACATGATCCACACATCAATCATTTATACGTTCCACTTTTTCTGATTTCACGATTGAAGACATGCAATGGTCAGAAAGGTGTGCCATCAACTGCACCCCAATACTTTCTCCTAGCTAATGCAGACTATGATTACAAAAAACATAACCAGATGGTCATTGTAGACAGTGCCGGAGCACAAGTGATTGCACGCATGGGAAACTTCAGCCTCCACACACAACGTCAATGCCAACTGAAACAATCTTCCTCACAATGTACACCATCATGGTGACTGCACCCAACCAAACAGCACAACCGTTGCCTGTTTGAAGCCCAACACATCACCAAACAGCCGCTTGTGCTGCCAGCCAGAGTATTTAAGGCAGCTCTGCTGGTGCATTGCACATGTTTTCTCGCACTGTGCTCAAGTGCAGTGTGATCACACGGGCGATCCACACCGAAGACACAGCTGCAGACCTTTCCTTTGAGTCAGACCTCGTGCCAGCCAGGCTTTGTCAGGACAGGCTCCCCTCGCTTTGTTTGTCACCACTGCTCTGTTGTTTGAACTGACTGACAATGTCACCTCACATTGCTTAGCTGTTACCGAATTCTGTTTGTTTTTTATCTTCACTGACTACACAAAAATAAAAATGTGCTGGTAGCATTTCTAGATTGCAACTCTTATGCACCCATGTGCGCATTTTGCATCGTCTTCGTGGAGAGTTGAGTGAACAAATGACAAAAGGGAAGATGAAAGGCAGCAATCGCAGTTCTTGGAATGCAGAGCGTCATTCTATTAAGACTAAAGGGCGATCTAGCTGTCACTGTGATCATGGAACTGCCATGAAAATAATGGCAAGTCAAATTGTGTTGGCTTGTGAACAATTCTTTTACAGTTTCATTTCACACACAGCAGCAGTATTCTGCCACAGTGCCTACAGTGTTCTCGGCAGTGGGTGTTCGAATGCAGTGCAAAACACTCAAACTGATGCCGTTGTTGTTGCAAGGTTCGTGCAGTGTGCTAGGTCTCCTGCTTGTGGTGGCATTGCAACTTTGCATGTGGTATCTGACAACTTGAGTAAAGCATTGTTTGCCCATGGCTTTGAAAAATTTGTGTCGAGTCAGTGCAGGGAACTGCATAGGTTTAATGTTTTCTTTTCTTAAGTGTGCCTTCTAAAACGTTGTCAAGTTGGCTGCAAAACAATCGTGAAACGCATGCGCCATCACGTTCAATTGAGTCAGCTTTATGCCAGAGCTGGATATGCACTGTGCGTACTGCAGCTTTTACGATCCTTATGCCGCATATAGCCATTAGGCAGATGCATCTGGTGTCGCAGTAGATGACGCAGTAATGTTTCTCACTCGATACAGTATGATGCAGTTATAGTACAGTCCAAACTTGTACTGCTGTGACTCCCAGTGACGCATTCAAGGAATGAGAGGGCGCACGCCTTAGCTCAATAACTTACAAACCGAGCGGGGAGCCACAGCCCATGCCAAGATGGTCCGCTTACGGCGCTAAACAGCCTTGAACACCAAAGATGCACGAGAGAACGTCTAGCCCCACCGCATTCGCAGCTGGGATGCGGATGCGCATATAGAAGAATTCAAATTCACACCTACCCTCACTTGAAGAGAGGGCCCACTGCATGAACCCCACATTGTATGGCAGCACTTGTCCATCGTGTGGTGCACGGCCATCACTGTAGCATGTGACAGAGGAATGCGCAGGAAGACCACATAAGGCTAACTCGCCTGGGTCACAAGCTTTCTCTAGGGAGCCATGGGAGACCCTCCTCGCTCAGCCAGGGCTGGAGGTCCAAAGAGGCCTCTTGGACCAGGTGTAGCGTGTAGTGAGGATAACGAGTTCTGGATTAGGGACCCACCTACTCGCTCTTTCCCCTTCTACTCCTTCCTCTGAATAACCAATACAGTTTTTTTACCACCACCTGCTCTTTCCAAAACCCCTGCTCGACTTTAATGTGACCCGTAATGGCACCCTTTAATGGCAACTTGTAGTGTAACTACCAACTTTAGCGCAAACTTTCAAATAATGTAAAGCAGCTCTTTGCACCGCCACTCTCTCTCTGCTCTCTCTCCTGCCCTGTGCCAGATGCTCCCTTGGGACTCTTCACGAACGCTGCTAGCTTCCCCATCAGTGCTGCTCTAAAGCAACGTGTAGACAACTCTTGAAAGCTTTTGGAACTTTTCTCCAAAAAACTTTCAGCTAGAAAAATGACACCTTGAACGGCCAGCTTCTCCAATAAAACGACAACCCCCGCCAGAACAAGTTCTCCAGCTTACTACAGAGAACTCCTGGCGATATACGAAGCAGTTCAACACTTTTGCCACGTCCTCGAAGTGCAGCACTGCACCACCTATGCCAACCACAAACCCCTGATTTACGCCTTCTCTCAATGCTACGACAAACTCCCACCGGTTCAGCAGAACCTGCTTTCTTTCATTGCCCAATTTACCACCGATATGAAACAGATCAGTGGGAAAGACAATGTTGTCGCCAACGCACTTTCATGTTTGGCAGCTCTATCAGCTCTTTGCGGATAACTGCTGATGTCATCCTTGAGGTTAAGACTGTGGATGCAGAGCTAAAGAAGCTTGTTGAGGGCTACAGCTGCAACAAGTCCCCATACATGGACGTACAAACGCAATCCATTGCGACATGTCATCAAGACGAACCAGGCCCTATGTGCCCCTGTCTGATCGCCACAGAGGTTTCAACCAGCTCCACAATCTCAGCCACCCTGAAATACCTGCCTCGACAGGTCTTGTGGCTGACAGCTTTGTCTGGCCCTGAATGCTGCAGGATTGCCACACCTGGGTGCGGCCCCGCCGCGGTGGTCTAGTGGCTAAGGTACTCGGCTGCTGACCCGCAGGTCGCGGGATCGAATCCCGGCTGTGGCGGCTGCATTTCCGATGGAGGCGGAAATGTTGTAGGCCCGTGTGCTCAGATTTGGGTGCACGTTAAAGAACCACAGGTGGGCAAAATTTCCGGAGCCCTCCACTGCGGCGTCTCTCATAATCATATGGTGGTTTTGGGACGTTAAACCCTACATATCAAACAACTGGGTGCGCTCCTGCATTCAATGCAAACGCACTAAAGTCACCAAGCACGTCACTTTACTACTCGAAGCATTCTCTGAGCCCTCTTGTCAGTTCAAACATATTAAGCTCAACATTATAGGACCCTTCTCCCCAGCTAGACTCTTTCGCTGCTGCCGGGCTGTCATCAATCGGTATACTCGATGGCTCGAAGTATGGCCGCTTGAAGAAATCCCCACAAAAGACGTCTCCTCGGCCTTCTTCACTGGCTAGATTGCTTGTTTCGGTGCTCCTCACTGCGCGTCACCACTGACCAAGCATGGCAGTTCGAATTCAGCTTTTTGGGCTACTCAACTTGAGGATTCAGCTTGAGCGCTTGAGGAACACCAGCTACCACCCTTCGGCCAACGGAATGATGGAGTGCTTCCACTGACAATTCAAAGCAGCCATCTTGTGTTACCCAGACTCAATCTGACTCGAGGCCGGCCATTCTGGCCATGGACCTAGCTTTTTGCGCCACCTTCAAGCCAAGTATCCAGGCTGCACCCACAGAGCTCGTCTATGGGGAACCACTCTATCTCCCAGGTAAATTATTAGCTGCACTGCCATCTAATACTAAGGCGTCAGACCCCACCAACTTCGTTGCCCGGCTCCGACGCACTGTCACCGTCCTCCGCCTGTCTCTTGCAGCTCACCACACTAAGCCTGTGCCTTTTGCCTTCAAGAAGCTAGCAACATGTACGCATGCTTTTCCCCCAGATGACACCATCCGCAGACCCTTTCAGCCACCCTACTATGGACCAGACATGGTTGTTTGTTGCGACGACAAGAACTACACCTAAGGTTTAATGGCGCTTAGGTTGAGTGCAATGTGCCTGCATAGGCCACATGTGCATACGAACACAACAAATAGATGCTATACACTTTGAACCCACAAATAAAGTTGCAAAAACTTTGTAAGTGGATCGTGTATAACTATTTTAAGCACATTCTTGTAACCTAATATAAACTGCAAAAGTTTGCACTGAAAAATGCCATTGTAAGTTAATATGTTACTTGCAAGTTTCTCACTTCGTTATTTGTTGTGGTTACCTCTGCTGAGCTGCATTTCGCCCAAACCTTGTACATGTGATGCCGCAAATGTAGTACATTGTTTAATGGTGTTCAGGGCCGCTTTGAACTGCAAAAGTTTGCACTGAAAGATGCTGTCATTGTAAATTAATATGCCATGTACAGGTTTCTCACTTGGTTATTTTTCGTGGTTACCTCCACCGAGATGCATGTTACCATTTTGCCCAAACCACCACTCTTTCCTATACTTGTAATGCCCCAAATGTAGTTCATTATTTAATGGTGTTCAGGGCAGCCTCTTCAGTGGCATGTTAGTCATTTTTCTTGTAACCACTACCTTTCCTTTTTGTAAATAACTTCACTTGAATGCATTCAGCCATGGTTTTGCCTTGCCTTTTGTTTTGCCATATTTAAAGATAGCACTGCATAACAAGTCATCTTGTTTGTCAACCTCAACTATGGATAATTCTGCTTGCTATCTGTATTAATGTGTGCTTTTCTTTAAAAGGGTTTTTTAGTTGAGCAAATGAAGCCAGTATGACAATGTGTTATTATGATAACAAAGCTAACCAGCTCTGTTCGTTGGCTCCGTGTTCCACTTCTCATTCACAGTGTTGTTGAAAGTGGGTTGCATTTCTTCTATATGTACAAGCTCGCAGCACTGCTGAATACCGCTGTGCAAGAAACTTGGTTACAAGGTCACTAATTAAAAGGCTCATGCGAACTCTTTTCTGTTCCACAAGTGCTTGTTGTGGGCAGCGTATGACTTATAGTGTTGCATCTGCAAAATCGCGACTGTGCACATTGAAAATTTCTGAACACACCATGTGTAGTGCCGCACAATTTCATCAGCTAAAAATGCATTTACAGCTATACCAAAGAACTTGCATAGTGACGTTGTTCAATATGCACTTTGTTCAAGAGAGAATGGCACCTGAAAGTTGAATGACATGTAGCTTTTTTTGGGGGGGTTGGGGGAAACAAAACATTGTGTACCTACTTTGGTGCTATGTGTTAGCCTAGCAAGTTAGCATGACATTATTATCAACAAATACAAAAGTTTTTTGTGCAAGATGTAAACAAAGTTGTAGCTTGGAAGTGTTTACAATTCCCTCTGCATCACACTATTTCGTAAAGCACTGTTGATTATTAGTTTATGGGAAATGCATTACTGGAGTTGTTTCTTTATATTTTGAAGCACTGTTAAATCGATCAAATGCTTCAAAGAAATGACACTTAAAGGGGAACTCTGGTGAATTTTCGACCATACTAAAATAGTGCTCTTTTCAAATAGTGTTGACAGTCCTGCAAAAGATAGGGTGGTTCATTTGGCCAGGCACTCATCAATAGTTTAGTTAAGCAATAATCTAAATAATAATGAGTCAAAACAGAAATCAATGAGTAAAATAAATGAGTCAAAACAGAATCCAAAGCAGGGACCTGCTCTGTCCTCCATAGTGGGTATCAGATGACGTCACGAGAATCCGTTGTCGATGACGTCTTGACATTCGCTGAATTGCTTGAGATTGGCCGTCTTGAGATCTGCTGAAGACGGAATCAAGCTGTACCAGCTTGTCTAAACTTACCAATGACAAGTTCAGCGATGATCGCAGCTGCTATCCGAGTGTGTAAGCATTGCTTTTTGACCCGTTGGCGCAAGAAGCATCTTACATGCCCCAATTCGATTCCCTTGTTGATCAATATTGTAAGACACAAGGTTAACGAGGACTAACACGCTGTATGCAGCTGACAAAACTGAACTGGGCTAGCATTGTTGCATTAAAAAAGAAAGCGCGCATTGCATTGGTCGGCTGGGAAAGGCAGGGTTTTCGAAAAAGGGTAGACCCTTACGTCACATTCACAGGGTGGTCAGCATTTACGAATGCGATTCCAAAATCGACTACCAATTTTAAAATTTGTTCTTTAAAAACTAAAAGACTTACGGTTGTGCAATTTGGCACATATCGCCATGGGACCGACGAGAACACATGTTCAATGTTTTATCCAAATTGACGAGTATCGAAAAAACGCTGGAGTTCCCTTTTAAATATCTTATGTGTCACTGCAGAAAACTGAATCGCTAGGCAAATCCGCTAGGCTAATGACAATGTAATCTGCGAGATTTTACAGTTATTATGAACGAGAAGTGCTAGTTAGCCATAATGAATTGTACATGCTTTGCCTCTTGTTAACATTTGAGTTGGCTTAATTACAGTCATTGATAGTTTTATTTTTGATTAGTGCCAAAGTATGATTTTCAACTTGAAGCTGAGCTCTGGTTCTTGCAAATAAAGGTGACAAACTACTGATTGCTTCTGTGCAGCATTGCAGTTCTGAATGAATGCATGTTTCTATCCGACACCTTCACTATTGTGGCTTTTATCTTTTGACATTACATTCTCTACATAAAGAAGCTTTCACATATTGCAAATCAAGTTGGCTGTGTGTTATGGGCGAAGCACCTAGAGGCTTAGGATGGTCTGTTGTGCGTTGTCCGTGCTTGCGGTGATGATGGCACTGACAATGTTGCAAGGTTATACGCATACCACTATTCACGAATAATTTCAGCCAGTATGCCACCTAGTGGAGAAAGCATGTAACAGCACATTGAAGTCCATGCCCCAGATGACACCCATTTGCACACGAAAAAAGGAACAGCGAAGCAGCTTTGCTGAGTTCCACAACGCGTGTCCGCGAGGTCAAAAAATGAGACAACATCTTTTCACAAGTTTCTCTCTTTGCTGACTAAATAGCGAACAAGAGCGGCATGAATTGGCAGCCTCCACATCGGCAAAGAAGTGATTTTGACAATGGTTGTTTGTTCACGGGACTTCACGAAAGGAGACTTTTTGTTTCCAGGTGAGTAGACTCATGCCGCTACGCTAAATATCTGTTGCTCGATTCGAACGACATCTACTGTCTAATGGGTAAGAGAGCTGGAACAAATGAGAACCTTCGCAAAGTTAACGTGAGCATGCTTGCAGCCTGTCGTCGGTGCATGCGTTTTGTGGTGCTGGGCATTACTAACGCAGTTCATGTTCCGAAGATGGCGGAATTAAAGGCATTGTGGTTGAGGAACGGAGTTTAATTGGTTGTTATTTGAGAGACTAGCTGCAATACGGTAAGCGGAACAAAGGGCAACGAGCGTCATTGGCCATGGAGGCACTGCGGACATGCTGGCCCCATTTTGTCCCTTTATGTTCGCAGTGCCTAGAGGATGCAGCATCTTGCTATGACATCTGGCTTTCACTGTACTGACGGTACAACAGCGGTGTTCAGATCTAGCGAATGGCATGTATGCTCACAGTGATCATTGTCCATCTACTAAACGATGGTACAGGTGAAGTGCGCAAAACTTGCGAATACTTCAGGTGGTGTGCGATTTCGAAAGTTAGTTTTAAAGTGTGGCTGTACTGCAGTGTTATTAAAGCTATGGCCATGAAATCTGCAAAGTATTTTAAAAATAAATGCAGCTTGCATTAGAACTCAGTAATAATTCCAAATTATGTTTAGTTAGGAAATTGTCCTATCAGGTGATTTCAAAATCTCAAAATTGAATTTTGTAACAGAGTGAAGTTTCCTGTGACCTCAAAAAAACCACTAGTAATATATTCGAATCTAGGCCTATAGATTTATTTTTTCAATTTCTTTGCATCAAACTCCAGGATTGGCTTAGAATCGAGGAATTCGAAAAATGCACCATTTCTCATGGGAGAAAAGTGGTGCACAACTAGGGCCACTTAGGTGGTATTATAGCCATTAGTATAGTGTACTAGAATATGGGTATAGTGAACTATATAGGGGTGGTGGGATGAGGGCGGTTCTCTCGGTGAGGTCGTTTGAACGGAAACCACTAGGCGACACTGCGAGCCCTTTCTTCGGAGAATTTATTCAGAAAGGCAAATAGAAATTACTACTAAACAAATTGATAAAGTAATCACAAAGGATAAAAAAACAGTGTGGACGTACACGAATACAATTGGACCGTTTTAGCTAGAGCTTGCTAAGGCATGTGACAAATCACCCCGGAAAAAGAGACACAAACCCAAGAGTTGGTGCGATGATGAAGTTAAGAGAGCCATAAAAGAATGTCAGAAAGCTTCTAGAGAAGATAGATATGCTAAGCAGAAGGGTGAACCGACAGATGATATTGAGAGAAAATGGGACATCTTTCTAAGCTGTAAAAGGGAAGCATCCCTTCTGATCAATGAAAAGATTACAAGAAAGGGGGCTCAGTGGCTGGCAGAAGTACGTAAAAAGGATAGAAAGGCAACAGCAAAATTTTAGAACCCTCTAAATTCCTTAAGAAATGAGACAAGCCTAGAACATAGGTTTATAACTACAGCTCAAGGTGTTAGGCTAGAAAGGGACGAAGCTATTGAATATATATAAGAACAAGGGTGACAGAAAAATTTCAACAAAGTGCCTTATGCACCTTAATAGACAAGGATAGATCAAGTGGCACAGTGGCTCCATTTTCACAACGAGAGTGGGAAATGGCTTAGAAGAGGGTTCTTAATAGCACATCAGCAGGCCCTGACGGCATACCAATTATGCTAAAGAAACTAGGAACAAACTGTAAACAAACATTAAGCGAGGCAGCGAGCAAAGCAATAATGAATGGTGAAGCCCCCAATGGATGGAAACTAAGCTGGATAAGCGTGATCTATAAAGAAATATTTGACGTAAGCATGTGGGAGGTAGTGGCCAGATACTGCACCAGGGTGGCCAATCCTTCTCTGGTGAGGGAGTGCGTTCTCGGCGGTGTTTGCCGGTGAGGCCGCACCCCAGGCCTCCTAATGCAGTTCCATCAACGCGCGGATTTTTTTTTTGTTTTTTTTTTAATCCGGTTGGGAACTGCGCGGTACCGGGATTTGAACCACGGACCTCTTGCATGCGAGGCGGATGCTCTAACCACTGGGCCATTGGAACCTGAACTTGGCAACGTTTAACGCTAGAACCTTATCTAGTGAGGGAAGTCTAGCTGTACTATTCGAGGAGCTAGAGGGTGTTAAATGGGATATAATAGGGCTCAGTGAGGTTAGGAGGACAGATGAGGCCTATACAGTGCTACAGAATGGGCACGTCCTTTGCTACAGGGGCTTGGCAGACAGAAGAGAACTGGGAGTGGGGTTCCTAATTCACAGAAACATAGCTGGCAACATAGAGGAATACTATAGCATTAATGAAAGGGTGGTAAGTATCGTAATTAAACTGAATAAAAGATACAAAATGAAGGTAGTACAGGCTTACGCGCCTACATCCAGCCATGATGACGCTTCAGTTGAAAGCTTCTATGAAGACGTGGAATCGGCAATGAGTAAGGTAAAAACACAGTATACTATGGTGATGGGTGACTTTAATGCAAATGTAGGGAAGAAGCAGGCTGGAGACCAGGCAGTAGGAGATTATGGCATCGGTACTAGAAACGCCAGAGGAGAGCTACTAGTAGAATTCGCAGAACGCAATAATTTACGGATTTTGAATACCTTCTACCGAAAACGAGAAAACCGCAAGTGGACATGGAGGAGCCCTAATGGCGAAAATAAGAACGAAATAAACTTTATAATGAGTGCACACCCTGGAATCGTTAAGGATGTGGAAGTGATTGGCAAGGTACGATGCAGTGACCATAGAATGGTACGGTCTCGAATTCGCCCAGACTTGAAGAAGGAACGACAGAAACTGATACGCAAGAAGCCAATCAATCAGCTAGCACTGAGAGGGAAAGTACAGGAATTCAGAGTGTCGCTGCAGAACAGGTATTCGGCTCTTAGTGAGGAAACCAACCTTAGCGTAGATGCAATGAATGATAATCTGACGAGTATCATTACGGAGTGTGCAGTGGAAGTTGGAGGCCGGGTAGTTAGACAGGACACTGGCAAGCTTTCCCAAGAAACGAAGAACCTAATAAAGAAGCGTCAAATCATGAAAGTGTCAAGTACAACAGACAAAATAGAACTGGCAGAGCTTTCGAAGTTGATTAATAGACGTAAGGTATGCGATGTAAGAAGGTATAACATGGAGAGAATTGAACACGCTCTGAAAAACGGAGGAAGTGTCAAAGCATTGAAGAGGAAACTTGGGATAGGCAAAAGTCGGATGTATGCACTAAGGTACAAAGAAGGCAAAATAACTACCAATATGGATAGGATAGTTAAAATAGCGGAGGAGTTTTACAGAGATCTGTACAGTAGCCGAGACAACCACGACCTTAATACTATAAGAACTAGCAGTAACCCAGATTACACCCCACCAGTAATGATAGAAGAAGTCAGAAAAGCTTTGGAGAGCATGCAAAGGGGCAAAGCTGCTGGTGGGGATCAGGTAACATCAGATTTGCTGAAAGATGGAGGACAGATTGTGTTAGAAAAACTAGCCACCCTGTTTACGAGGTGTCTCCTGACGGGAAGAGTACCAGAGTCTTGGAAGAACGCTAACATCATCTTAATACATAAGAAAGGAGATGACAAGGACTTGAAGAATTACAGGCCGATCAGCTTGCTCTCTGTAGTATACAAGCTATTTACAAAGGTAATTGCTAACAGAGTAAAGAAAACATTAGAATTCAATCAACCAAAGGAACAAGCAGGATTTCGAACAGGCTACTCAACAATTGACCATATTCATACTATCAATCAGGTAATAGAGAAATGCTCAGAGTATAACCAACCACTATACATAGCCTTCATAGATTACGAGAAGGCGTTTGATTCAGTAGAAATATCAGCCGTCATGCAAACACTGCGGAATCAGGGCGTAGATGAAGTATATATAAACATTCTGGAAGAAATCTACAGGGGATCAACTGCTACCATAGTGCTTCATAAAGAAAGCAACAGAATACCAATCAAGAAGGGTGTAAGGCAGGGGGACACAATTTCCCCAATGCTATTTACCGCGTGCTTACACGAGGTTTTCAGAAGCCTAGAATGGGAGCAGTTAGGGATAAGAGTCAATGGAGAATACATTAGTAACCTGCGCTTCGCCGATGACATTGCATTGCTGAGTAACTCGGGGGACGAATTGCAACTCATGATTACGGAGTTAGACAAGGAGAGCAGAAAGGTGGGTCTTAAAATTAATCTGCAGAAAACGAAAGTAATGTACAACAACCTCGGCAAGGAGCAGCGCTTCGAGATAGGTAATAGTGCACTTGAAGTTGTAAAAGACTATGTCTACTTAGGGCAGGTAATAACCGCAGAGCCGAACCACGAGATTGAAGTAACTAGAAGAATAAGAATGGGGTGGAGCACATTCGGCAAGCACTCTCAAATTATGACAGGTAGATTGCCACTATCCTTCAAGA